GTAAAGGCATGACTGCTTGCAACGCCCATCTTACTACTCTTTCTGTCGACAACCGCAATGACGGCAATGCCGTTTGTAAAACCAATTTTTAAATTTCGAGGTGACTAAATTTCAAAGCAAACACAGGCATGGTTTGCTGTTCATCTTCCAAAACATTTCCGTTGCATCATATTTTGGGATTCAAAAAGTGACACAGGGACGAGCAAGCACCATTTTTCAGAAAAAACAACGCCAAAGGTGTTCCATCATCTAATGGCATGGCTCACGCCTTGTGTTCACAAAACCGGATTAACCACCATAAATCATACAGACCCACAAATCAATTTCCAGTATGGATCACAAGAGGACCACTTGCAAAGCACAAATCCCAGCAGGACCAATTGGATCAAACACTGTCATCCCCGCACAAGCGTCAATTGCGTCGGGTAGTGGGTTGTTTAATGACCACATCGCGATAAGTAAATATGGCTTGCCACGTCGCAACGTGATCGTTTGAGAGCCGGCCACACCTCGAAAAGGGATCTACATCATTTTTTCGCATTTCGAAAGTTGCCAGATCGCGATGTAGTTGTTCAAAACGGTCACAAGTCGAAAAATGACGTCAAATCGGGTATGGACAATGCAGGGTATATCACATCGTGATGTGATCGTTGAAAACGGCCAGTGGCCGTTTTCGACATCGGAGCCTAACATACATATCCTGTAGTTTTTAGAGACTGAAATGGCTCAATTGGATTTTTGCGCCAGGCTAAACCACGCAATGGTGGAACTTAATCGCAGGCGTTATAATTGTTCAAAATCAGTTTCTACAAAAGGGGGATCACAATTCAACGCTACTCGAGCTTACGCAATAATGTGTGCTGACTTCTTTTCATTCACACAAGAATATGACATGCATATAGGTGAAATATGTATTCTATTGAATGTAAAAACATGCCTTTTCTCGCACACGCTCGACCAACATCAGTGTCGAACGGGCGTAAATTACGTCGTCGGTCGTAACAAAGGATAAACTCCATCGCGCAAGTCAATTTCGCAAGGATTCTTGCAGCTACCTACCCCATGTCGCTAGTTTGAAATGAGGACAGACGTAGATACAGATACACGAGGGTCCTGAGCGCCGCGGTTGGGTTACATTTTGTCATAATGACGCTGAGGCTAGCATCCCACAGCCCGCAATATACACCTCACTGGTGTTCGTCAGCAAACATACTGATTTTACCTGGAGCAGATTGCAGTAATGACGTCACTTGAAGAAAGTGATTTCAGGACTCCGCACATCAAGTTCGTAAGTTGAATATCATGCAACTGAAGGCAGCCTTTCATTGGGAAACAACATAGGAAATGCCAGATGAGGTCAACACGCAAGATAGCTCAACATACATGGAAATATATCCATCAACAGCGGCTTGATTCTGTGCTTATACCTGTAGCTGTTGTTGCTGCGCCTCTCTTTGCTTGCTCATGCTCTTCAACAAATTTCTGGCTCCAATTGCCTTGATCTTTTCCTCTTCTACGGCTTTGGAAAGTCCGTCAACCATGTTGATGAATCCATCGACAATGGTCTTGAAATCCTTGATTCCTGCAATGCAAATTTACTCATGAAAAACTGGGGAGCTGATAAGTCAAATCTGCCTCAACTTAATCAAAACCATAGATGTTTGCGTAGATGCACATACAGCATATATGCAAACAACTAGAGCAACATGTATAAACACCATCTTGTAATTTGCATATAGATGTGCAAATATCCTAGCAGCTAGTTTTCATGCTTACAACGTTTAACCCCGGACCATTTGAGAAAACACTAACCCAAGGTGAAAAGTAACTGTCCGATCACAAGGCCTCCCAAAATGACCTCGGATGCTCGATGGTCGGTGTGACCAATATGTCTGGAGTCTAGACCAAAAATGCGGGTGTCAGAATCCTATCAGCATGGAGTAGGTCAAGAATTCAGTGATAGGGTAAACTCGTATGCCTTCTCCATCCAAATACAGATTCTTATCTGCCCGTGCTGGCTAATTCCTTCACAATTGGTTCAACAAGTTAACCCGCTGATACCATTTGCGGTAAATTTCGAAATAAAGTCGGGGAATCCGTGGCACAGCTTTTGGGCCAGGTTATACTTGGATCCCTCGGTGCATTCCACTAACTGCACTACCTTGGCGGCTTTCTGACGGCCTGTTATATCACGACACCCTCATCTGGTGAGAGCAATTCGAAACGACAATAGATACTGTTTACTCTCGTCTAAAAAATATGGTGTCAACAATTTCCTCTGACTGATGACTTACGGGTTAAGTGAGAGTACCGAAAAATTAGTCTGAAATCTTCCGACTTCTGGGCATCTAGCACCTGTTATAATCTACTTGTAGCTTTACAATAGGACCAAAAGAGAGAGTCTTCTCCCGCTAAAATTTGAGGGAAGTCTTAATACTGTGTACTTGTTGGCGAACGGTTGTGTTAGGGCTTTGCTATACAGTAAGCAAATCTATGGTTAATTACTTTTCAAGATGTTCCATTACAACTCTAGGCCACCATGCCCATTATCCGAAAGAGCTGCGTGAATAAACGCAGGCCACACAACCTGTCAGAAGGAGTGTTCCACATTTGTATGGGGTTCTGAACTGAGGCAGTCACTCTGGAAGATCACTCAACGCAGTTTACATGCCTGCCCTTTTTAAGTCCCCCTTCCGGTTTCTGAGCCTGGCGCCCGCGAACTTGTGCTAGCATTTCGTGCAGATATTTCAAGGACACCCAAGCATGCATGACGCGACGGAAACGTCACGGGAATACCGTCACCTCATTGGCCATGTGGTACTTGCTACCAATAAAAAGATGATCATTGAGTTGTTTGTGTCTAGCGTACGTCAGCACAATATCAGGCACATACGGACTCTTTGTCTCCAGGGTCTCAATCAATGTTAGGCGTCCAGTGCAAATGTTGTACACAGATCCCGTTTTGTGCTACATAACACAGAAAGTGGGAAAGCTGTACGAGTTATGACGAAAATAAGACTGAGAACTTTGAAATAGCGCGATAACCGAGCATGCTAATGCAAGCAAACACTATACAATCAACGAAAAACATGCAAGAACACCACGAAACGAGGACAAAACAAGGGCACATGAGAATATTCTGTTCCACGCTCGGCTAGGTAACACATCGCCACCTCTCGGCAAGTCGAAGTACTTTAAGTGAGTCAGCCCATTCCCTACAGTGACAATTCTGACATGGTCAGTTTAGCAGCAGCCCCATGTCATAAAGCATTCCATGATGCAAAAATACAACAGCATGTTGAATAGTACATTTAGTCAAAACTGAGTTTGTGTTGCCTAGAGCAGTCTTTTGCACTTAAACATGGCCAAGGTTTCAGGTGAGCTTCTTCTATCAAAGCTGATGCTTTGATATTATCTCTTGATATACTTTTTATCTTAAAATGTGGAACATTCCCTTAAAGCTGTCAAAATACTTGGTGCTGCTTTGTCATATCTCAGCTCCAAAACAGAAATCAGTGAGTACAACCTTAACTTTCACTTTGAAGTCCATTTTGATCTACCTTTTCCTGTTCAAAGCACGCTTTCTGATGTTTTGAACTTCCTAATGATAGTGGCCAATATGAGTCATGGACCTTAGTTTAAGGTTCAAAGAGTAGTTCAAAAGTTTAGTGCCCAGAAAAGCAGACATGTTGCCTGTGGCCAGACATCTATCCTTAATAAAAATATGGTTATGCTTACAAGGCATCTCTATTCTGTTGTGAGAAGGATTGCTTTCCAATTAGGTAATATGTTTCATGCACCTCTACTTAATGTATGCCTGCTGCATGAGGTTTCTTTGAGCTTCCACATAAGAACATATTTTTCCACTGTATACCTCCCTGAAAGCTTTTCATGTTGAAAGCAAAGCAACAAAATTGAAACATCAAAGTTTTCAATAAATAAATTATTATGCACGCAGCTAGAACAATTAACAGAGTGAATGATTACACAGTCATCTAGCTAACAATGTACTGAAACTAGGATGCATGACATATAACATTATAGCACACATTATGACATTATAGCATCCACAATATAGCATCAATTTTGTAACAAGCTAGACAACAGCATTGCCAATTTACATGAAAGCAAGCAAAAATTGGTAAGAATGAGCTAATCTCACAAAAAAATGGTAAGAAATTTGAATCCGTCACAATGACTGAAACATTTACAGCAGAAAACATCTGAGCCAGACAGTCGCAGCGCAGATGGTTCAATTGACCCCGGCACAAAACGCTTCCAACTTACTTTCCATGAACTCTCCACATTCATCTTTCAGTTGAGTTGTTTGCTGTGCGATCTCAGGATCAAGTATACGTAGCTTATGCAGGTCATCAAAATGCAACCCTGCCTTGAGCAGGGGATCCTCCGGCTCTGCCATTATCACAGCTCAAAATGTAAACAATGTTCAACTATGCTACACTGCCAAGTATGGAAACTAAACGCATGTCCTATAAATGTCATCTGTATGTTTTTAGAACTATGGAAGTGAGTACCATAAGTTTTTGGAAAAGCATTTAGCTTTATAGTCAATTAAGTGTCCATTTAAACCAATGATTTTCGTTTCCTTGATTTAAAAAAAATCTGTAAAAACTTGTTCTTGGTACCATGTGGGATTGAAACAATTTGTACTATGTGGTTTTTTCATCGTGAGTATATTTAAAAAAAATAATTGGGTATTATAATCATTCAAGTTTGGTGAAACAAAAATAAACGCAACGCTTACCTAGTCGCCACCAGGCGTGAGCTTTTCAATCGTTCTTGTCATGCCCATTGTATTGATTTTGCTTGGGTGTCTGTGTCTGGGGTGGGGAGACCGGGGCTATTGATCGCTACTTCCAGGCATTTGCTCGATCATATCGCTCGCTCTGGTGTGTGAACTGAATTGCCAGGTGGAGATTTTGGCTTGTGTAGTGAAAATTAAGAGCCCGTACTGCGCTGGTCGCTTGTGAATCCTTGTGCGGTGAACTGCGTCGGATATGTCGGGGGACCAAAGAACTATGATTAAGGGGTGCCCATCCCAATATGTGAAGCTCAATGTGGGAGGCACACTCTACTATGCCACTATTGGAACCCTTACAAAGTATGATAACATGCTCAAGGCAATGTTCAGTGGCAGAATGGAGGTTTTAACAGATGCAGAAGGTAAGTGACATAAATAGCATAGATGGGTGCTTTGTCAGCTTTCAGTCAGGTGAGAACTCTGTTTCAGTGGAAGGTGCTCTCACACTTACAAAGTAAAATAATGTGTTCCAACTGAAATTTTATGCAATCCACCATGTAACAGCTAGAAATGAACACTGCAAATGTGCTGCAGTAGTATGTACAAATATGATAAATGTCAAGGTACTGTCATTATACAGACAACCTGAACTGCCTGGTTGACTTAAAGGGATATGCTGCTATGTGTGGTTGGTGTCATTGAACAGGCCTTCTACCTTTGATCCTGATTTGTCCATGAAAAAAGATATTTTTTATTCATTCTTGCTTGGATGGATCTCAAGTTTATAGTCATTACAATAATTTAATATATGTAGGCTGTTCATTAGAGTGAACTTTTTCACTATTTCATACCCCTTCCAAATGACAACTACCTGATGATGGATGGCTTTTCTGTGTTAATATGTTTATTCCTCAGGCCTAGTCCACAGATTGCCCTGCCAAGTTAACAGCATGTTTTAGTGCTTTGGATGCTTAAATTCTGTGCATGTTATCTTGACACCCAATCTTTTACCTTAAATACTATACCTTCCTCCTGTTCCTTTTACAAATGGAGCCTTTACATCCTGTAATTGCTGGCATCTCATAAAAGGGTGTGCCACTACATGTGGGCAGTACCATGAAAAATGTGTTTTGCTGGATATCTATATTTTATCATAGGAATGGAGAAGCTATAAATTTGTTTTGATATGAAAAACATGGATTTTTATTTTACAGCAGTTGCACCAATCTGCTAGCTGCCAGCAAGATGGTGCAAATCTTTGGTGGGGCACAAAATAAGCTTAAGTTGGCACGCTTTAAAACCGCAACTGTCATCATCATAACAAACCAGAGTTTTAAAGTGTGGTATGCTACTGAGTATTTCAACCCCAGATGTCAGGAATGGACATATTTAGTTGTTGGTGGTTAGTTTGGATGCTCCATGACTTAGAGTAATCTAAGTACTGTCATACAGACAACCCCTTGACTTAGAGTAATCTAAGTCAAGGGAGATGCTTGTTTTGGCATTATGCTCCGGAATCTGTTCATTGAACCTGCACAGTGCAAGTCTGGTTGATATCCAGCTGTCACTGTTGTGTTGTGAGGTTGGTCAGCTGGTTTGACTGCCATGGCAGGATGGATTCTGGTGGACCGATGCGGAAAGCACTTCGGCACTGTGCTCAACTACCTGCGGGATGGCAGCGTCACTCTGCCCGACACGGCCCGGGAGCTGGCAGAGCTCTACACCGAGGCCAAGTACTACTGCATCCAGGAGCTGGGTATGGCAGCACGACTGGGCGCTGGGGGCGGTGTGTTGACAGTGGCTCACGTCCAGCCAGCGCCGTTGTCGGCCAGGCTGGCTGCCGGAGTCAGTGGCAGCCCCGGGCGGCTCTGGCCCGCCGCTCGGTGGCATCGGCCGCGACTCCCTGACGCCGCGGTCTCGAAGGAGGCCGCTGGGTTCCCACCAGCCACAGAGATACATCCTGGCCACTGCGGCCTCGCGGGTTATTTGTCTGGTCTCCGCTATCTGCCGGCATCAAGATCCTCCTTGTGAAGTGGGATCTGTATTGTCAAAGTTGCCGGCTTCTTGCTACTACTACCATTGTAATCTCGTGTTAGCAGCACAGAGTAGATGTTGAAGGGTCACACTACACAGAGTAATGTGACCTGGAGGTGTTCCAGCTCTTGGCAGTGGAGAGGGAGAAACACAGCACAGGCTCCCTGAATATAAGGAAAGGAGATGTGGCGTGTGTGGGTACTGTACAATCGAGCAGTCACCGCCTCTGAAATACCCCCTCCCCCTCCCCACACACCAATCGCTACCATCACCATCACCAGGCGAAGCATGCGACAGCGCGCTGAAGAAGATGACGGACCGCGACGTGCACCCGATCTGCCGAATTCCGCTCATCACGAGTAACAGGGAGGAGCAGCAGCTCATCAGCCAGAGCAACAAGCCTGTCGTCAAGCTGCTCATCAACCGCCACAACAACAAGTACTCGTACACCAGGTGGGTGATGCTCGGGCTGACTGAGCGGCGCGCCAGGCCCGGACCATCGAGAGGTCTGCGGCTCTGCCCCGGCACCACGTGAGGTCGCTCCGGACGTGGTCTGGTCTGGACATGCGTCGTGTCACTCTCGGCACAATCACCGCTTATAAATATCTCGTGTTTTAGCTGTTGTGCGTCTCTCGGTCGTGGATAAGACGGTGACGCTGACTGCCCGGTCTTTTAAAGTCACCGGACTACGGAAAGGGAACTTTTTGGAGCGTGAGGGATTGGCGCTTCGGGTTGAGGCGTGTCGGGCCTGCCATATTTTTTCCCAGGAGGCGTCACTGACTTGTCTCTGTGCCCGACAGCGCTTCCGACGATAACATGCTAAAGAACCTGGAGATGTTCGACAAGTTGAGCCTGCGCTTCAGTCATAGGGTGCTCTTCATCAAGGACGTGACGGCCACCAACGAGATCTGCATGTGGACCTTCTACGGGCGGGGCCAGAAGGTGGCAGAGGTCTGCTGCACGTCCATCGTCTACGCCACCGACAAGAAGCATACGAAGGTGGGTGGCGGTGGCCCCAGGGGTGCCCTTTGGTTGCGTTGTTTTTGTGAACTGGCTGGTGAGGAGGCGCGCGGTACTTGCGACGGAGAGATGGAAGGGCTTAGGCGGGCCGGCTACGCGACGCCGACAATAACTCTATCCACTCCCTCCTCGGCACAACAACGGAGGAGGGTACCCATGGTGCCGGGCGGTGTGGGCTATGTCGGTGACCGGTGGACGCGCGCTAACTAGGAGATGCGCTTATTGTACTTTGGCTTTCGTACAAGCAGGGTAGTGGGTCCACTACCGAGATATTATGGCAATGAAGCAAGAAAGTTGATAGCTGAAGAAAACACCGTAATCGATTATGCCGAAGGAGGTTAGAGAGATGCAAGAACAGACGTCACACTGCGGAAGGACAGCAGAAGTGCACTCAACTCTCACACGTTTAAAAAGCACGCCAATATCGAAAACGCCACCTTGTGGCATTCGTGAGCACTACAGTTGAGTGCCGTGGGCCCTGGCGTACGGCAGCACTGTCGGCTACGCTGCCCGGCCGTCCCTGGGGGTAGGGGTCGGTGTGATCGCCACTGGAGTGAAGGTGGCAACATGGAATGCTAGTTAGATCTTTCCGGTATATCGTTGGTTTTATGACCGTCTGTGCCATTTTGCACATCCCAATGTTCTCTTGCTTCCGAGAGGTGTAAAGTGAACATGCAGGATATAGGATCGACAGAAAATACTCCCGCAGTGCAGCATGCCATTCGATGCGATGCTTCGCTACGGCCCCGATTCTGCGCTCACGAAATAGTCGGCTTCGGGCGCGACGAGTCAGTAGTAGGGTTGTGAATGCAAGCAGCCCTATTACTCGCTCATCTTGCCCGCGGACGGCGCCTCGGCGGCGGCGCAGCGAATGTCAGGTACACGTGGTGGCCGCGGGTGGAGCCACTGTCGGCGTGGGGACAGGCTGCGAGCTTTCAGCGGACTGCGCGGAGAGCTTCAGCACTGGGAGGTCTTACCACTGTCATGGTTGTGATGCATTAGTCAACCCAGAACAGGTGAAGGAAAAGACAGCAGCGTGACCTGAAGGTGGTGTGTCGCCTATGTAGCGAAGGGGGAAGCACGCAGCACCTGCTCCCTGAAGATGAGGGGAAAAAATGTGACGCGTACGGACATTTCGCTATCCAACAACCGTGATTGCCAACTCCTCCCCCTCCCAGTTCTATCATTCTACAAACCCAATATTTGTTTTTGCTGTTGGAGGCTCTTCAGCAAATAGCCATGCCAGTCAGATCGCACGTCACCAGAACACTGCGTGCAAAAGCATAGGCTCCAGACGTACATCGAGACGGATGCTCACACACATGCGTCTATTCCAATAAGAAGAGTGTCACAGATCGTGTGAAGGAGTAATGCAGTAAACATTGGATCTTACTGGCCTGTTTCGGTAAAGCGAGTCGCTCGCGAGCTACCGACTGTTCGTTATAGCAGCGCTGGTCGGCGCCACAGCCGGGCGGACTGGCTGCCGGCCGCGCCCTCACGCCGCCGCCCGCTCCGCCAGGTGGAGTGTCACTGAGGCTCGCATCTACGAGGAGACGCTCAACATCATGCTGTACGAGGACTGCGACTCGCCTGACGCCGAGCTGATGCAGGCCACCGCCCGCCGGCCCGGCGCCTTCGGCTACACCAGCGACGACGAGGAGCAGACGGCCGGCGCCGGCGCCGGCGCCGGTACCGGCGCGCGCAGCAAGCACGGTCTCGAGCGGCTGCGCTCTAACAAGCAGGTGGCGCGCGCGACACCGGCGCCGCCACAGCCGCTCTGAGGTCGTGCCGGAGCCGCCACTGCAGCCGCTCTGAGGTCGCGCCAGTGGCGCCATGGCTGCTCTGAGGTCGCGCCGGGGACGCCACTGCTGATCTGAGGTCGCGCCGGGGGCGCCACTGCTGCTCTGAGGTCGCGCCGGGGGCACCACTGCTGCTCTGAGGTCGCGCCGGGGGCGCCACTGCTGCTCTGAGGTCGCGCCAGCGCCGTGTTCGCCTCCGCCGGTCGTGTGGCGCCAGCTCTCTTGAGTGGACGCGCGCTCGGGCGTAGCGCGCACCCCTCGGTCGGCAGGGGCGTTTGTATTCACAGGCGTGCGATAGGAGGGCGTGGTCGAGCCGGAGCCGGCCTGCGGAGCAGCGGTGTCGGGGCGGAGCGGCCGGCCGCGCCGTCCCGCGCCGGGCTCGTGCCCAGAACGGGGGCAGGCACGAACAGCTCCGGACATGCCATCAACTTTGTGCTCGGGCGAATGCAAGTGTTATCTCGACGGCTCTTGATCCCGCCCAAGTCAAGAGGCGGCGGTTGTCGTTGGAAGTGAGGATCGTGCTGTCACAACGGCGCGAACATGCCATTTTACCCCCTTCCCCCCTTACAATATGCCCGGCGTGATGTCACAATACTGCGCTGCAGCGTGTGCTGCGTGGGATGAAGATACTTAAGCTTTGTTATACGGATCGCTTGTCATGTTTACCGTGTCTGATGCCACTGTTACTGTTGACTGTGTCGCCGCGCTCCGGGCGGGGCGCCGTGGAGCGCGCCCGGCCGTGGTCGGCGAACGGTCCCGGTCGGGACATACGTAATCAAATGCTGCGAGCCGAGCGGGGCTCGATGCGCGCGCGTCCCCCCCCCCCGTGCCAGCTGTGATATGAAACCTAGCGAACCAGGGCGAAGGGAGACTCGTGGCCAGTCATCGTGATCGGAGCTGTGGTGTGCGACGTATTCATAATATATTACCCCAGCGCCGCTGGGCGTGGAGCGCCGCCGTCGAGTATGGAACGCCGCCGTCCGTGGATTCGGAGCACGGGCCAACGCAGTCTGGCTTGGTTTGTATTAGAGCCCTTTCGACCTGCAATGGTCATTTCAGGGCCATTGGATGAATGAGAGCTGAGGGTTGTGGGGCAAGATGACGTGAATCTATGAGTCCTCCGCTACGGAGCTTTAGCTCGCGCAGGAATCCTTGGTGTTGTGCGTGCACTCCGGCGGGGCTCTTACCAAAGGACACCGGTCCGCCCACTGCTGATGCATGCAGCTGGCTCCGCGTACACTGCGGGAATTCAGAATGAAGCGTGAGTGAGGAAAACAGTGCGGATGAGCGAAGCCTGTGTGTTGCTGGTCCAACCGCTGGCGCCGGTAATCAATACCCGCAGAGACTGGGTAAGGTGACGTTCGGTGGCGCGGCGGCGACATTGGTTGCTCGCTTGCTATATGCCTGGGCAATCGGAATGGTGCCGCTGTGTATGAGTGATGCGCCTCCGTGTGCCACCTCGACGGAGGCGGGGGGAGGAGATATCGCTGTCGGATCAACTCGCCCATCCCCGCTTCACAGTTAATCCGCGGAACTCCGGCGGTAAACGCACGAAATGAGACGGAAGCATTCTGCGAACAGGGAAGGCGTGGCTTCTGGGGAAGCGAGCGTCTAGTGGTCAGCCGCCTGAGAGCCGCGTGAGGTCGCGTTCGACCGCGGGGCTTACCGGCGACGGCGACTGGTAGAAAGGCCACTCCCGCGCCGTAATCGTCTTCCGACAACAATGCGTCCATAAAGTTGGAGGGAAAGCCTGGCTGCGAATCTGACGTCATTCGTTTTGCCACGTCTCGAGACGCTGGGATGTCACAGCCGGCGGCTCGTAAGCGGGCTGTAAATCATTGGCAAGCGTTGCCTTTGTCAACGCAAGCCTGCCAAAGCACCTAAGGTACATGAATAGTCACAGGCGGCGTCGGTCCTGTGTCAGCAACGTGTGGGACGGGTTTAGTCAGACCGTGACGTGCAGGCTTCGAGTCCCACGATGGGCGTTCGTGAGCTCAAGTCTGAGAGCAAAGCGTGTACCGCGGGCGGGCGCATAGCGTGGCCTGCGTAACGGACGACGACGCCGCAATGTTACCTGGGCCAACACTCGGTGAGCAGCTTGCCCATGTATGGCCAATGCATTCCGAGTCGCAATCCACAGCGAAGCTTCCGTGCACTAGTGTTGCAGTAGAGCACAGCTGCGGTGCTGTCCCGCTGCAACACCCGGAACCAATGGTGCAATGACCTCCCCGTCTGCTCGCCAGTTCGGCAGTTCGTCATGAGTGCCTGCTGGGCGCTAGAGGGCAGCCTTCCGGAGGGAGCGCGGCTTTTGTGCGTAGCCACGGATGGGCAGCGGGCCGCCGGGAATGTCTTCCGCGCCCAGTCGGCCTGATCCGGCTTTGGGCGACGTCGGACCGCAGAAGCTGCGTACCGGGCCGGGATTAGGTCCTCCGTGGGCGCCGATGTATCCGCGTCGGCATCCTGGTGGCGAGGGCGACCGTGTGGCATCCGCACAAGGTCGTGGTCGGCCGCTGACGCGGCGCTTCAAACGAACATCGCGTGCGCCAAATCCGCGGATGTAGCAGGCCGGGGAGCGGCCGGCGCTGGTTGTCGTGCTGGGCGCGGCCGTCGCTGGCTGTCGTGCTGGGCACGGCCGGTGCTGGTCTTGCTAGGCGTGGCTAGCGCTGCTTGTGCTAGATACGGCTGGCGCTGATTGTCGTGCTGGGCGCGGTCGGCGCAGGCTGTCGTGCTGGGCGTGGCCGGTGCTGGTTGTGCTGGGCGCGGCTAGCGCTGCTTGTCGTGCTGGACGCGGCTGGCGCTAGCTGTCGTGCTGGGCGCGGCCGACGCTGGTTGTCGTGCTGGGCGCGGCCGTTACTGGCTGTGGTGCTGGGCGCGGGCGGTGCCGGTCGTCGTGCTAGGCGCGGTCGGCACTGGTTGTCGTGCTGCGCGGCTGGTGCTGGTCGTCGTGCTGGATGCGGCCGGCGCTGGTTGTGTTGGGTGCGGCCGGCGCCGGTTGTCGTGCTGGCCGTCGTGCTGGGCGCGGCCGTCGCTGGCTGTTGTGCTGGGCGCAGCCGGCGTCGTCCGCTGAGAGCGGCCGTCAGTAGCGGCCGGAGTCTGACGTGGGCCGGCGCCTCGGCCGACCGCAGATCTGGATGACGTCCGCAGCTGAGCAGCGCGCTCAGGTGCGGCGCGGCGCCGCGCGCCGCCCCTTGTTTGGGTGTCCGGTCCTGTGTCTGCACGTGGGACAGCGCGACCGCGGCGGCGCCTGCCCAAGCCGCCTGACTGTAGGATCAGCCCAGATCTGAGCTGGCTCCTGCGTGGGGCCCTCCGGCCCTCTGTAGGCTCACCCATCCCCACAAACCAGCACGTGCCGCACATGTGGGCTACAAACGACCGGTATGGATCCTCCGCTCGTGCCGCCTGTCGCTCCATGGTGGGTGGTGTGGACCGTTGGGAGGCGCACGCCCTGATCGCACGGCGTACTGACCGGGGCGAAGAACGAGAGCGGTCAGTGTGGGTGAGGTTCTCAATCACATGGGTGCAATGCGTGGGCAGACGCCACTGGAATCTGCTTATCATATAACAGCGTGGGAGGGATTGGCCTTGGATTGCGTCACGCATTTTTTACCGTTTTCAAGCGTATCTCCCCTGGAACGTCACGCACCGATTATGCTGGGCGACTCGCTCCCCCGGCCTCTGCTTACGATGTGTTACGCGTAACGTCCAAAAAGGTAACGTCCGTTTGGCCCTAATCGAGCTGGAGGTTCGACACAAACACGGGCCTGTAGCTTGCTCCGATGGGAGCCAGTGGTATCTGGCCTTAGGGTTTTGATTTATGCTTTCAGATTTTAGCAGGAGTAGCAACATAATTCAAGCGAAACGTTGGCTGTCCAAAAAATTTCCATCCCTGGTTACGCTTCCGTTACGCCGCCCCCCCCCCCCCCCCATGCGAAACGTTGTTCATGTAGGACTCGAATGCATATATTTAAAGTGCATTATTTACAGATTTATGTGTACACGCTTGCGGAATGTAGCTTTCTATGAAGCAGCATGTAGTACTGGGACGGCAGCTAGCCAAACAAAGAAGGCAATAGTGTACTCCGCTGGAAACCGCTCAGTTGACCTTCGTCAAAGTCAAGGTCAGAAGTTCATCGAGCTATACCGCACGTGTTGACGTTATCGTCTTCTACTCACACCTTTCGCTATCTGTGGATGTTGCCTGTTCTCAATCAACCAGTAAGCTCACTTGACAATCTACCCTGGAAAGGGGCTGTCGCCGCTGGAGCGGGGGGGGGGGGTGATGCACATAGTCAACCAGTGCCAGTGCCACTCCCCCCCTCTCTCTCTCTCTCTCTCTCTCTCTCTCGCTCTCTCTCTCTCTCTCTCCTCTCTCTCCTCTCTCTCTCTCTCTCTCTCCTCTCTCTCTCATCTCTCTCATCTCTCTCTCTCTCTCTCTCTCTCTCTCGCTCTCTCTCTATAAATATATATTCGTCAGCATCATCCACATCACAGAGATTTCGTGATCCCAGTTCTTAACTGATTTTTGCGGCAAAGGGGCTGGTTGACCCTAAGTACTGCATAACAAAAGCCGTGTGTCTATATGTGTAGTGATTTGCTTGGATGTTGGCCCAGCAGGAAGCTGGATGACCTGCAGTGATGTCGGGAAGGATTTGCGGTTTTGCCGATCAGTGAGCCACCAAAGGCATAAGGTAATTCCAGTCTATGGGCCAACAGCAAGACGTGCCAGCCTGCTACTTGGCAAACTGCACGTATTGTGAAAGACAAGCACATGACAAGTACATGCAAATCACTGGCGGCATAACCTGTCCGCTCAACTGCTGCTTTCCCGTTAACCTGCCTTCATGTCACCCATTTCGCTCGTCGTATCGCAGAACGACCCCGATTATTTCCACAGGTGCGCAGGTGCAGGTGCAGGTGCAGGTGCCCTTTTGTGCTAACTAAAAAAAGAAGATGGTTGAGATAAAGATGTCTCTGTAAGAAAAATGTCCCTGAGAGATTTGATACCAAATCGCACCCCATACATTTTGCTTTGCTTGAGTCACACCCCTAACATTCAGATGGTACAACTCATAGCTTCATAATCGGTCTACAGCTTCTGCAAACTAAACCAGACTTTGGTGTTGACCAAGCACTCGGGTGGAAGGTCAATTGCAACCCTCCCTTCAGGTTTTTCAAAATATCTTCCGAACCGTGCGGCGTAGCCGCGTCAAACTTCGGCAAACCTTTTCAACAACTTGATAATTACATTCAAATTTACGTCATATCGTATCACCAAAATTTGTTCTCGCCCTCATCTATCTTGACTGTGAAAGCGAGAAAATCGGCGCTCTGCGACTCGTCATTGCTGGCCAATGTTCCAGATCATCATGTCTTCTTTGACGATATAAATAAACAGTAGGTATAGTCAAGTTCCTACGTAAACTTCAATGCCTTCATCAATACCCGTGGTCTGTTCAATTGTCATTGAGGTTGAGTGTGACGTCAGCGAAAACTTGACGCCAGTGTCAAGTTAGCTGAACAGGCTGTTATAATCATGAATATAAGTGACAGATGTGTTAATGGCACACCCGATGACCGTTGAAGTGCTGGTCACGACAGGTGTTGAAATTCCCGGGAAAAAGTGCTGCATGCCTATACTTTATCATAACTGGGATGTTTGAGCACGATGTGTACGTGCTATACTGACAAAATGAATTTAAATGAAAGCGTCCAGGGGTATCGACTTTGATGTAATAATCCCAACTGACGTCATATTACATTTTGAACCTACCAGATAACATGCTTGCACTCAATCCGCCTTCATCTGTGACACTGAAACTGGGCAGAACTGGCCACCTTAGATGAGATCTGTCTCCGTTTTATCCAGCCCGGCAGGCTAGTCAATGGGGATCACGTAAACAAAGGCTGACACAACTTCTCAAGATGCCGTCGGATGTCCACCGCACAGTCGATGAA